TGCGTGAGTATCCGTCCTCGCTCCTCATCGGGTTCCAAGTCGAGTCAAATGGTGTCGTGCTCCAAGATGAATCAGGATAACGTCATAGCGCGTAAAGTAAAGTTGTTCCCGTATCCGATCCGGACATTGGGGATTGCCTTGTTAGTGAGACAACTTCCTGGGCCTTCGGCATAATATTGTGGTAAGGTGGCCAGTTCCTGTCCACGCCGCCTTTACTTCCCCAACTGGAAGTCAGGTACCCATTATTGCTGGGTGGGCTGGAGGGGACGAAAAACAATTTGTGTCCGAATCGAGGCTCGAACCCGGACTTTCCGCTTCGTAGACGAGCGCACTAACCGCTCCGCCACCGCAACCTTTAGTGTGTAGTCTGGGATATTATAACACAATGACATAATGATCCACACGTTCATGTGTACACACCACACACATAGCAAACACATGTATGTACACATACTCACATAAATACGGACCTTTACTTATAGACTCACACACACACACACACACACACACACACACACACACACACACACACACACACACACACACACACACACACACACCAATAATAATACAGCAAACTTGTGCACGCAAATATACACGCGAGCGTGCACAGATACGAAACTGCGTACCAACCCTTCGCACCTGCAGGTGCACACAAATTATGATAACTGGTCGCTTTTAAGCACAAGGGAACTATCCCGAAAAATGCTGTTTTGAGAAAATCGAAGGTGAAGTTTTTCCCCCTTGTTCAGTTTCTTTAAAAGTCAAGGAGAGTTTTCTCTACAACCAAACAAATAAACACACCAAGGAAACCAAACTTCTCCTGTAGGTTGGACAATAACCACTTTTGGTGTTGGTCAAGGTGTCTGGAAACTCCCAAAATCTGGGTTAGCCCGCTTGTCCTTAAAAAAAACCATATGTGAGGCAGCGTGGTGGAATCAGGCTCTCGTCAATATTTGGGCATGTAGAGTTATTGGTATCATCTTAAAGTTTGTTCACTTGTCTTTATTTGGATGGAAATTTATACATTTATCTTGGATACAAGTCGAGATATTCGCGAATGAAGGAGGTGGGGTCACCTTTTTTCAGGGGTAGAATTAGTGAGAAAATGGCCAACAAAGATTAGTCTTTTCCTTATCTTAAGTGTCCGTGGTAACTGAAAATTTACTTCTTTTTTTTTTGTGTGCCTTTAATCAACTTTTTTTCCAGAAAAATCCACTCAGAAATGAGTTCTTTAATGGGCATGAAAGGTGCTAAGCCAAAAAAAAAAAATGATAAAAATTCACAAACCTGAGGAAAAATACAAGTTTCTTCACTGTGATTATTTTTAATGAGAGCCTGATTCCACCACGCTGCCTCACATATTAAACGTACATAGATAGAATAAACATTATAGAGAGAGAGAGTAAAATTCCACACAAAGATATGATTTACATACAGATATAGAATATACATGTACATGACGAATGACACTTTGCGTGACCGGAGATCATCAGAGCAGCGTACTTTGGAGACAAAACTCTCAAAGCCGTGCACTAGTTGACGTTCCTCTCTTTACTACAGGTCTAGATAGGTTATCTGTCTGTCTGTCTGTCTGTCTGTCTGTCTGTCTGTCTGTCTGTCTGTCTGTCTGTCTGTCTGTCTGTCCACTACAAGTCAAGATATGTGACCTGTATAGCGGTGAGCGCCCCAGAAAGCTGATGATGAGTGTGTGTGTGTCTGTCCGTCTGTCTGTATGTCTGTCCCTCCCCTACAAGTCTAGATAGGTGACCTGTGTAGCTGTGAGCGCCCCCAGAAAACTGAGAATGGAGCTGGCTATGATGACGGTGACGGTACTGCCCAGTCTGTCTGTCTGTCTGTCTGTCTGTTTGTCTGTCCGTCTATGTGTGTGTGTCTGTATGTCTATATGTCTGTCTGTATGTCTGTCTGTCCCCTACAAATCCAGGTATGTGACCTGTGTAGCTGTGAGCGCCCCCAGAAAGCTGAGAATGGAGCTGGCAATGATGACGGTGGCTGTACTATCCAGTGTGTGT